GAATGGAATGGAATGGAATGGAATGGAATGGAATGGAATGGAATGGAATAGAACAGAATAATGAAATGAAGAATAGAACAGAATGGAATGGAATGGAATGGAATAGAATGGAATGGAATGGAATGGAATGGAATGGAATAGAACAGAATAATGGAATGAAGAATAGAATAGAATGGAATGGAATGGAACGAAACGAAACGAAACAAAACAAAACAAAACAAAACAAAACAAAACAAAACAAAAAGGAAGAGGAAGAGGAATAGAATTCTTTATTGGCCAAGTTGATTGGACATACAAGGAATTTGTCTTGGTGCAAATGCTCCCAGTGTACCTAAAAGGAAAGATATATTCGTCGAGAGTCAAGAATCATCAGGTACAACAATAATAGTCATAGGGTACAATAATCAATCAAATCATACTAGGAAACAGTCCATATTCATCGTAAGGATACAAGCGACAAAGTTACAGTCATACAGTCACAAGTGGGAGGGGATGGGTGATAAGGACTGATGAGAAGAGTAACAGTAATAGTAGTGTACACTTTGTAAATAGTTGGACAGTGTTGAGGGAATTATTTGTTTAGCAGAGTGATGCCGTTCGGGAAAAAACTGTCCTTGTGTACAAATATATATATAATACGTACAAATACTGCACTGTTACACACTATGGCCACCCCATCTAATGGTCTCACTTTGAATCTTGAATTTTATCCAGAATCCTAGCTGCATGCAACCACTACAAATCATCTAATCATCGAAGTGCTTCAAACTTACAATGCATTTATCGAAGTTTCGTTTGACAGTCACTAAAACATTTCCAAGAGTTGTGCTGAGGAAGGACGTTGGATCCACATTTTGCGCGGTCCACACGTGATGACTCATTTTCACTAGCATATAGAGGGAATTAAAGCTGTCAATCTTGTCGCCCAGAGCAATGAGGTTATTCAGTTCTGGTTCCACACAGCGAAATATTTTTATCATCATTTGCCGGATCATATGATTCCTGCAACATAGTATTAAATATTAATAATACTTAAAAGCATTAGGCAAATATTGAGATTTAACATTCATTTTAAGGACTTTATTTGATTATTTTTTCCTTTTCTAAGTCACCATTCACTTCACAGAGCCTCATGGGGAAACCAATGTTGATCTGTTTCAGTATTTTTTCCAACTGAGCAGTATTTTTTCCAACTGATGTGTGGACTTCAATTATCGGAGTTCCCCAGTCAGTGCCAAGTTGGAAAAGCACTAATAAAATACTAGTAATAGTATCACCTCAGCAGGGCGACAAACATAGATAGATAGATAGATAGATAGATAGATAGATAGATAGATAGCATTCAGCTTTGTTAGGGTATTTTCCCATGTCATTGTAGTTGTGCTTTTAAAGCTGTAGCAGAATCTCATCTGCCATCATCAGGCTTCTGTATAGTGTTCATCTGTGAGTCAGACATTTACAGTGGTTTCAGATTCTGAAAGAAGAGTTTACATATAAGCCATGCCCACCCAGTCACGTGACCACCAAACCACACCCACAAATTAGGCCGCACCCACAGAACCGGTTGTTAAGAAATTCGAATCCCAGCCCTGCCGCAGAGCAGCACATTTATTTATGTGATTTATGTGCTGCTAACTTCCAAAACAGTCCTGAGCGACCAAGATTCACAATTTAGTCACGATACAAAGAGTGTTTCATGTTCAAAAGACCCCCCTGCTAATTGGAAACATACTCTGAATATGCTGATTGCAGCCCACCAATATTGTGTGGTCTTGTTGAAATTCCTCCATCCGTCTCCTCAGTATCACTCTGGAAAATAAATGAAAGTTTAGATGGAGATCAGGCTAAAGTTACAGCCATTTAGTTCTGAGTCAATAATTTCCAAATTGAGATTCATACCACGGGTGTTCCAGGAATGCTGAGATGCTGTTGAAGTTTGAAGAATTTACTAATAAAGTCCTGTTCTGCCAGACAAAGTGGCTCTAATTCACTCAAGACCTGTTCAAAAATCTATGAGGATCAAAACAGATATTTAGCACACACAAACACACATTTACAAATGTCTTATTGCCATTATGTTCCTTTTAAGAGCAATGGAAGTGTTTTCAATTGACTGTACCTTTGGTCACAAGACGCCATTAGAGGAAGAAGGAAAAAGCAGAATTAGCTCAGAAAATAACTCTGCCAGATTTCTAAAAGGTGCTTAAAAATATTAAAAGCTAATATTAGGAGATCAACTTGAGTGGGACAGTGGCCTAAAGGTCGAGCTGTCGCCTCACAATCAAGAAGCTGTGAGTTTGATCCTAGATAGTGACAGATATTTCTCTCCCTGGGCGCACAATGAGTAAACATCAGCTGCGAACTCTGCATTGGTGACAGGAAGGGCATCCGGCCAGTAAACACTCAGCTCCATTAGTTGCCCCAACTCCATCCTGCAAGGGATTACGTAGTCATTAAAAGATCCCCCCTCCCAAAAAGGAGATCAACTTCTAGCCTATTCATAGCCTCTTTTTCTATCTTGATAATGAAGAAACTGCTGCCATATGGATCCTCCACATACTGAAAAGGCAGCCAATCCTTGTGGGCCCACCGAATATCCTTTTTCCATTGACATCAAGTTCTGAGGAAGACTATGAAGAATTGCAGCCCGCAGATGTGGGAAAGAGCTGGGAATACCCGATTCACGCGAAACAAGAAGGTTGCAATGGCATTTATGGGTGTTAAATTAGTGTTTGGCATGCAATTATACCCAGAATCGTTGCAATTACCTTATCAAACTTAGTCCTATCTGCCACATCAAGGTCAGAAGCGGACATGTTTCCCATATCTAGCAACGAGGATGACTGAGATCTACGGCTTCCTGAACTCTGAACGGAGAGTTTGTTTAAGCTAGATGTTGAGCCGGTCAATTTCCCAGAGCTTCCGTGAAGGCCTATAACGTAACACAAGCCAGGTAAGAAGTTGCAACACCGTAAGCATCATACGTTTAAAAACAAACCCCTCAGCTACCTGGAGATTATGAGGGCATTCCCTACAGATTAAACCGACTGCTCTGGTGTTGCCCCAAGTTGCTTCACTTCAGACAAACTGATTCAGAAATGCACACTTAACGACAGACGTTTAGGATCAGCCAAGACAAGAACTAGCACCTAAGGCCACTAGTAATCCAGAAAAGAGCACAAGTAAGGGTAGACAGAAAGGCCAGGGAGAATTCACAAAGGGGCATCTTCTAGAAGCAAAGCGGAACAAAAGCAACGCATTACTATTTTCTTAGGAAGAAAGTAGAAGCAACCAACTCCTGGAAAAATTAGGGAGAGTCTTCTCAGTCTTGAAGGCCCCTTCCAGTAGAAGCCTCTCCTGTGCCACCTACTCTGACAGCTTTTATCTCTTTACTGCCGTTTGATTATATTTCATTTCAAACTGGAAAGAAATGAGAAGAAGACTATTCTTACAGAGGAATCAAAATGTTTGAAGACTCCCAATTTGGTGTTGCTTCCTTGCTTAAAAAAAATCAAAAGTTCTAGGAGTGTACGTGTGTGTTTTCCGTCCCCACATTTCCTGCTTCCAACCCTTACACCCTTCACCACCCACGGGCGGTCGACCCTCTAAAATGGGCGAGTGAAATTCTAAATTAAAACGGGGTGTCTCACTCCATCCTGCAGCAGAATTTTGAGTAGAATGCAATCCTCTGCTTTAATTCTAGACAAATCGTGGCTGAAGTCAGCTCGAGACATTTTTTGAGGGCCTTGTTTCTCTCTGATCGTTTTGGAAACACCAGTCACATCAGCCCAATCTGGCACGGGCAATGGGAAGGGATTTGGAGTCACAACTGTAACATCTGACACTAGTCGGTATTATTCATTTATTCACCCTACACTGCAGTTAATCGTAACTACAAATCAGTGCAAAGAAGCCGGCCCACAAAACATCATTTATGAAACTGGCTTGTTTCTAGTAATGATGATTCATCACTGCCTGAACATGGAACAGGTTCATTCAGAGGAACAGGGGTTAATTTAGAGTCTTCCAAATATCACTTTGCAAGGGTGCTGGAGAAAGAAGGCTTATTGCAGGATTCAATCTGGGTCAATCACCAGGACCAGAAGTTTTCGTCTTCCAAGCTTTTGGATTTGTGCCACAGCCCATGTTCAGGGAACTTCTCCCTGGCTCAAGAGAAGGTCCCTGAACTTCTGAACTCAAAACCTCTGGTCCTGGTGACTGACCCAGATTGGATCCTGCAACACTATCCTGAGACATGTATATTCACCTTCATTCAAAAACATTTATTTTTAAACTAGCTCGTGCTCCGCTACGAAACTATGTGGTCGGGCTTAGTTTTTGGGGGAGGAAAATAAAGGGAAAAAAAAAATCAGCCTCTGCCTACCAGCATCCATCGGTTATTCATCTGGCTAGCGTTCTGTCAGTGTGTGAGAGAGTTGAGGGCTGTTTGGAAACTGAAACAGTATTTGCTGTGTGAGCAAGGAGGAGACAGCAAGGAGCCTGAGTGTGGCTTAGCTCAACTGTTCTGTACTAAAGCTGCTTGGTGCGGTGAAACTAAAACTGAAATTGAAACTCCTCTCCTCTGTTTGTGTTTTGCCTTTGGAACAGATTTCTTTTCAGGTGGGGAAGAGGAGTAGAACTCCTTAGCATCAGAGCGTGTTAATAATAATAATATAGGAAATGCTAACGCTCTGATGGTCATTTCGAAAAACCCTTTCTTAGTGAGCACCTAGAAGCCAAGAGGAACATACGTGCCAAATTTCAAGTTTGTAGGCTTTACAATTCTGGAGATTTTGTGATGATGAGTGAGTGGTATTTCACATTTATATATATATATATCGATTGAGGAACTATAATTCAGGAGCCCAACATCTGAAAGGGATATAGAAAGTGCAATAGGACACTGGGTAGGAAATTGTAAGCCCGTGGAATCAGAGATCACCCTTTGTGTAGTCAAAAGTGCTTTATGTTAAAGCATTCAGGGATTGGAATTAAGGAGAATAAACATGTGAGTTGAAACAACTGCCTGCACTATAGTGGTCAGATAATACTCAACCCAGAGTACCCCAGGTCTCATGAAATGCTGGTTCACAGTAGCCTCAAGCCATAAAACCTGATGTGTGTTGCCACAACAACCCACATTCGAAGAGCAGCACAATAGTTCTCAGCAGACAATGCGTGGGGGGGAAGTTACAGATGACTTGAATGCCCATGGAGACGGCAATGCCACTGAATACCAATCGTGTCATAGGTCTTAGACTGTTGGGTGGGTGCGTTACGTCTGAAATAATTAACTTGGCCACAAGAATGTTAAGTGGGAAGAGTCAGGTATCACAATCTGGGGACCGTGTTTCCCAAAATTAATTGCTGGGAGCTAATTGAAAATACAAATATAGAGGCATACATAGCAGTATTCGAGTTCACATCACTGCAAGTTAAAACTGAGGAGAACTGGGAGACAGTTCTCCACCAGTCAGACTTCGTATGCACAAAATGGTATTCCCATAATGCAAGGGGTCCCCAAACTTGGCAGCTTTAAAGACTTGTGGACCTCAACTCCCAGAATTCTGGGAGTTGGAGTCCACAAGCCTTACAGTTGCCAAGTTTGGAGACTCTCTGCCATAATGAATAAGGATGATGCAATGCAGGAGAATTCCATGCTGGCATTATTTAACCATTTCAAGTTCCTCGCAGCTGTCTCCTTGGGCGCCCTGCCAATCCTCATGGATTCATTCACAGGATCAGCATCCTGCCTTTTAGAACTCATATTCCAAGAAATATGAGGAAGATACGATCTTCCTGATTTTAATAGAAATTGTAAAACGCGTTTTATTTTGCCCACGACTCAAATCCCACCGCAGCATTCAAGTATTTTTTGCTGCTTCCCTGATCAAACATTTGCTTTTTTACCTCAGATCAGTGCAAAAAAACCAACAACACCGCATCTGACAATTCACAGGTTTTGCCATGATAATTTTGGGGTTTTTGTTTGTTTGTTTGTTTACCAAAACATAAAATGCACTGGCAATAACCACTTAAAGCTCTGGTGATACTCACTCTCTGTTTCCTGTTTGACAGCACTTTCTTTTCGAGGCAGAGTGGCTGGGATGAATTAGGTTGCAAGCATCAAAGACAAAGACAAGTTAAAAATGCATTTGGCACAAATCATGCACGAGATGCAAGTTAAGCACTAGCTGGAAAGAAACATGCAGAGAACTGTAACAAGCAAGTAACTACAAGTTGCAAACGTACATAGCTGGGAAGGCACTAAGGTGGGATCTCTTTAAATGTGCAGGAAATATGCATTTGAGTAAGGGTCTCCGTGATTTTCCCCATTTTTTTTTCCCCAGAGGGGAAATGACAAACACAAATGGTAGTGAATCCTGAATGCAAGATGGCACATCAGGTACGCACAAGTTATGAGAGGAAGCAGATCTCGCTCCAAGAATCTGGCACCTCAAAGAAGCCAACAAGATCTGAACCCAGACAAAAATGTGCAACAGAATCTTTTACAATAGATTCGCATAAGATCCTGGGACACGTCTTTGGATTGCAGGCCATTTTATGAACAGGGACTAAAGAGGTGATCCTTGACTTACAACCATAGTTGGGACGAGGATTTCAGCTGCTAAGCAAGAGAGTTAAGTGACTCATGCTTGATTTTACAACCTTTTTGCCCATAGTTGCTATGTAATTTATGTTGTCGTACCCCTGTCGGAATCTGACTTGGAGGAGGAAGCTGAATTGCTGAGAGGAAGTGGGAGTGTGGCTCCGTTGGCTGTGGAGGAAACTGAGGAAGGGCAAAGTACGGCTGGGCAGAGCAGGGGAGAGGTAGAACAAGGGAGAGGGACTTCAGAGGAAGACCCAGCCCCACCCCCCTCTTCATCCTAGGGATGAACGGAGAAGAGAGCAACGTGGATTGCGTGGCTTACGGGGAAAGAAAGGGCCCTGATTCCCTTCATTAGCTGCAGCTGGGAACACAGTGTATAAAAAAGGAATCTGCCTGCAGCAAGATGTTGGGAGCAAACGTGAATTTATCTGGTATCGTCGTGGCTTATCTGTGTTCCTGGCGTCTTCCCAACTGTGTGAGTTGTGGCGTGCTTTCAAGTCTGAAATTCCTTCTCCTGCCCTGTCAAGCTAATTACTTCAGTTTGGTTTGTTTGGATTTTAAATTACAGTTAGCGTGTAACAGTCAAAGGCTGTTCCTGGGAGAGTTTTTCTCCAGCCCTAAGGTAACCTGGACATTGGGGGCAAAGTTGGAGATAATAAAGGGACTCTTATTGCTTATTTGTCTATGTTGCCTTTGTGCCATGCTCTGGGTCATCACACATGTGATCTTTAAGCAAATCAGATTGCCCTAGTGGGTGGCTTGCTGGAACCCCACTGAAAAGGTCGCAAATGGCATTCATATGACCTTGGAATTCTGTGGATGCTGCAATGGTTGTAAGTGCGAGGACCAGTCATAAATTCACTTTTTGTCAATGCCATGGCAACTTTGAATCACTGCTGAATCAATGACTGTAAGTCAAGGACTACCTGTATAACTTTTTCTACATTGCTGCAAACCAAACTACATGGATGTGCTTTCTGGGGTCACCAGGAGCCAAATTTGATTTAAAGGCAATAGTATCTTTATTTTTTTTTACCCTGATCTAGAAGTTGACCCCAACTTCCTTTGCAGCATTGGCAAGGGTTGTGGATGTAGTTTTCTTGCCCTGTATGAAGATACCCACTTTCCTTGGACATTTTCTAGAGTCTAGACTCTAGTGCAGGGTCTTCAAACTTGACAGCTTTAAGACTTGTGGACTTCAACTCCCAGAATTCCTCCTCCAGTCCTGTTAGCTCAAGAATTCTGGGAGTTGAAGTCCACAAGTCTTAAGCTTGCAAAGTTTGAAGACCCTTGCTCTAGTGCCTCTCTAAAGGGCCACCTTCATGTTTAAATTGTTAGGCTCGTCCCAACAATAATGGGACAACCCAAGTTGTAAGCCAAGAGATAAAAATGCTATTTTATACAGCAATATCAAATAATCATTTTCCTCAAAAGTCCCTGTGGCCCACCAAGAAAGAGGTGAAAGGCTTAACAAATATTTAATGCATGAAGCAAAAGTGTGTCTTTATACCAAACCATACATATAGCCTCATTTTTACAACTTAGACAGGTAGTAATAACTTTTTCATGTGTAATACAGGATTGTTTTCTCTCCATTTTGCTGCAACGTAACCGGGGCTGGGTTTGAGCACAGGTGGAAGAGACAAACATTGCAACTGCAATTGCAAAAATCAAAGACAACGTGACCTAAAAAGTACTGTAAAAAAAATCTGGAAATTACATTCTCAACTAGTACCAGATGACAAAATGATCGATTGGTATAGTTAGAAAGTGCCCACAGGAAATAAAAATTCAGTGTGATCCTGTACAGGAAGGCTCATAGAATTCAGGTGGATTTACTTCCAAGTAAGCATAAAGTGCCACACAAATACACAATTTGCATTGTTCGTGCAATGATAGCATGTTGTGCATGACACAGCTTGATTCATTGGTGATGGTACCCGTGACTATACCTATCTTGATCTCTCACAGGAAGAAAAAAAGTGTGTTAAAACCAGCTAATATAAGAACATAATGAACTTCTGTTAAGATTTAGATATTATTTTTTTTAAACTAGACAATCAGATTAGACTTCTTCAGCACACTAGGAATATAAACTTGGAAACAGAACAGAATAGACTAGAGGTGGAAGGGACCTTGGAGGTCATCTAGTCCATCTCCCCTGCTCAAGCAGGAGAATCTATACAGTATCTCATAATCTGCCAGTTTCTATTGATGGATTTTCCACCAAAGAAAACAAATTAAATACATCTTTCAGACATTTTCACATCTGTAAATACAAAGTTAAAACAATGTTAATCCAATACCGACTTTTTAAATAAAAACATCAAGAACAAAGAAGCAATTAAAAAAATGGAGCAAACGCATTATAAAAATTCAACTGCACATATTATATATTTTTTTCTTAATTGGGCAGGGTCTGGCTAGATACATCAATGTTCTATTCTTGAAGGAAGGCAAGGATCCAATCTAACTCGACCTGTATATCTTGAAAAGATTTGTTTACCCATAGAAATGTATTTTTTATTGCTTCTCTCTACACCCCTACTCACTTTCCATTAAAAAAAAACCCCAAAAGCAGTCTTGATAATAAAAAAAAAAAAACAAGTTGCTAGAAGTATATATTTTCTTCCCTCCAAAAAAGCAGTTGTATGCAGGTAGTCCTCGACTTACAACCACAATTGAGCCCAGCATTTCCGTTGTTAAGGTGAGACATTGGTTAAGTGCGTTTTAACCCATTTTACGACCTTTCTTGCCACGGTTGTTAAGTGGATCCCTGCAGCTGGTAAGTTAAGTAACCCGGTTGTTAAGTGAATCTGGCTTCCCCAATGACTTGGCTCGTCAGAAGGTCGCAAAGGGGGACCACGTGACTCCGGGGGGGACACCGCAACCGTCGTAAGTATGAGTCAGCGTCCAACTGCCCGAATTTTGTTCACCTGATCATGGGGATGCTGCTGTCCACTAAAAAGGTACTCCTTGGGGCTTTTTAGATGCCAGAAAAAGAGAGTCGTGGGGGGGGAAACAAGGCATTCTTGAAATGCCTAGATAATCACCTCAGCAGCTCAAAGTTGTCGGAGCATAAGAAGGTTACTGGAGAGCATGATGGATGACTCTTGGAGACGGGTGTGTCCCATTGGAGAAGTCACATCCAGGGGGTGGGGGGGAAGACCAGGGTCAAGGGGGAAATGTGTGATGTGATTTAGTACCGGCTGTACCCAGCCATGCGCCAACATGGCAAAGTCTAATAAACCAATTTACTTTTCTCTGCGATAGACAGATCGGCTAGAGTCGGGGTGGGATTCAACCGGTGTTACTACCGGTCCGGTGATTTTACATTGCGTGTGGGTGTAATACACCTTAAGCTGTGCTGTCCGGACAGCTGCAGGTGCGCAGCGTTTGAAAAGCCTCTTTTCCCCTGCTTTTTCAACCTCAGCTGTGCCGCGCAAAGCAGCTGAGGTTGAAAAAGCCGGAAATAAAGGACAGGTAAGAGCCCAGGCAGGCGGGTGAGCCAAAACAGCAGCAGACACAGAACCGGTTCTGTGTCTGCTGCTCTTCAGAGCTACCGGTTCTATAGAGCCGGGCAGAACCGGTAGCAGGCCACCCCCTGGGCTAGAGACTTTTGATTTGAATGAGGTGTGATTGGTTGAAGCCCCGACAGCTGCAGTGGTCACTAAAGTGTGAAAAGTGGGCACAGGTCACATTTTTTGTCAGGGTCGCTGTAACTTCAAACAGTCACTAAGCAAACTGTTGTAAGTCAAGGACTACCTGCATATGGCTGGAAAGGTGTGTGTGTGTGTGTGTGTGTGTGTGTGTGTGTGTGTACGTTCCACTACAGATATTTAGAAGAATCCATTCCTAGGATCAGGGCTGGGCTGCTGGGGATTCGGGAGAGCCCCTAGCTAAGATTCTGTGCCGTTTGGAAAAACCCCAAATCGCACTCCTGGCTGCCCCTGCCCACCCCTCCCCAGAGTCCCCACGTGTCCCGTTTTGGATGCAAGGCAAGTGCAAGGCGCACTCAGCGGCTCGGGGACAGCAAAAAAAAAAACAGGCCTCCCAGAAGTTCGAGAAGGCTGGAAATGGGCCTGTTTCCCGCTTCCAGAAAGCCTCCAGAGCCTGGGGAGGCCATTTTCGCCCTCCCGGAGACTCAAGGAAAGCCTCCGGAGCCGCCCCCCCCGCCTACTGTGGTGCAGGAGGCTGACTAGGCCACGCCCACCATGGCCACGCCCACCCAGCAACCGGGCAGAGAACCCTTTGCTAAAAACCCCTAGCCTAGGATCTATCAACAGCACCGATGAAAAAAATCCGGTCTCGTTGGAATTTCTGAACCCGGGTCTTTTTTTGGAGTCACGGGGATCAGGCTGTGAAAATTTCCCAGGATCTCAACTACAGAAAATCAGGGTGGCACCACCAACAACAGTTAAACAAAGCTCACTGTTACTCTGTCAAGCAAAGAACGGAGTTGAAGTTCAATAAATCTTTCCAGCTCAGGCATTATCTAATCTGCACAACTCTGAACTTCCTCTCGAGCTCTAAACAAAATTTTAACAACCTTGCAGGATGTCAATAATTCCATTTCATTTCTGGTTGAATGTGTTGCACAACACAACTTGATAGTTTTTTATTGACCTCCCATTTTATGCACAGGGATGAGGCTTCTCCCAAGCATAATTATTACTAAGGAGTAAATGACATTTATTTACCACCTAGAAAAGAGATTTTTTTTTTTTCAAGGTGTTTGAAATAATTTTGTATTTTCGCTGCATTCTGAGTGATTAACTGAACAAAAGATTCATCGGTATTTTTTTTAAAAAAAAAACTTACCAAACTTCTTTCCTTCCTTGGTTGCGCCTGTCATTTTAATCTTGGCAACTTCAAAGAAGTCCTTTATTTCTCGATCGTACAAGCGTGATAAATAATCCATATAGTTCTTTAAAAAAAAAAAAAGCAGATACGGTTGGCTCCAAGAGAGAACACAAACAATTCAACTGTTTTTATGTCTGCCCATTTAAGATAATTTTGAGAAATCAGCATGTCAACAGCAGTAAAGTTATTAGAACAAAAGACAGAATGAAGAAAAGAGCTTATTTCATTTATTGTTACTCTAAGTTATAAAACAATAAGCCTGGGGGATTTTGTTTTTAGTAATTTTATCCATTTTTTTTACTAATTTGCTTAGGTACTCTAGCTAACCAATTCACCAATGCCAAATTCTTGCACCAGTCCAGTGCCATATTGCAAAACCTTCACGCATGTTTAATTTTACAACAATATTGGTCTGCTAAACATGCCAACTTTTTGCAAAAGATCACTAACGTGAAATCCATAAGTAGTTTCTTATGTATAAATCCCAGGGGTTTTTGTTGTTGTTGTTTCTTTCTGAATTTCTCATCCATAATTGCTGCAGATATGCAAAAAGAAATGCTAAACATACTTAAAAACCTATACCAAGAAGCATCTGGCTCTTGTTTGGTGCCTAGCAAAAGACAAACCATCAGCCAAAGCAATTGAAATACAACTTGAAACCTAGTGAAAATGGCCGAGAAAAGATAAAAAGAGGGTTGATATCAGAAGATGCTTATGCCTTCCATGTCAATTGTATGTGGTGTATATGTGTAATTGCATAGGTTCCGAGGAAAATATTAAACTTGCTTGTATTTTTGCTTCTTAACTCAAATCAACCTTTATTTGGTCACAGACTACAATTTAATTAAGATAAAAGGAAAAATATAGCTATTCCAAAGCAGGGGTCTCCAACCCGCAGAGTCTGGGGCCTGTTAGGAACTGGGCCTCACAGCTGTAGGTAAGCAGTGGGCTAGTGAGAGAAACTGAAACCATTCCACTACCATTCCGCCCCGGGGCTGTGGGAAAATTGTCTTCCATGAAATCCGTCCCTGGTGCCCAAAAAGGTGGGGACCACTATTCTAGAGTATCAGAAAAGGCTGGAATTAATACATTCATTCTGAATGCATTCAGAAGTGGTGGGTACTCCAGGGGTGGGATTCAATTTTTTTAACCACCGGTTCTGTGGGCGTGGCTTGGTGGTCATGTGATTAGGTGGACGTGGCTTGGTGGTCATGTTATTGGCTGGGCGTGGCCAACTCAATATCACTCACATCGAGGCACGCATCTCCTCGCCTGGCCTCTCATGACTGTGAGGATGCTGCAACAGTCGTAAGTGTGAAAAATGGTCCTAAATCACGTTTTTCAGTGCCATTGTAACTTTGAATGGTCATTCCACACAAGCAAAGTACCAGCAAAGGAGGGGGAAAAAAACTCCAGAGAAGTTCCAGAGACAGGAAGTCTAGACCTGCCAAGAATGTAATAAGGGTTAACGGAGAAGCAGTTTCTGTAATCAACACCAGAATGTTTCCTTCCTGCCTTCCTTACAGGATTAGGCCAGTAATTTCTTCTAACAACCGGTTCTCCAAACTGCTTAGAATATTAACAACCGGTTCTAGCGAATAGATGCGAACTGGTAGAATCCCATCCCTGGAGGTTTCTGTTGTGGTTCGCCAGCAGGTGGTACAAACGTCAGCAGAGTCAGACAGTGAGGAAGAAAGGGGACCGTCAGGGAGTTTGGAGAGGACTTGGATGAGGGTCCTGCATCCAATGCAGAGGTGGGGCCAGGACCATCTGGGAGTGGGGTGCTGACTCCAGAGCCTCAGGAGTCTGGCAGCAGCGAGGCAGAGGAACAAGGGGAGCCTGTTCCCAGTGCGCATGTGCGCAGAGCTGCTAGAAGGCAAGAGCAGCTGAGACAGAAGGGGCGACTCAGGAGTAAGGCTGGGAAGTGATTGCCCCTCCCATACGGGATAAAAGTCAGACCTCCTTACAGGAAGCAAAGTAGTTCAATAGATTCCAAGTCTGATACTTTGGTTGGCTTCTGTTATAATTAGATACTTCTGTTTTTGGCAGCATTCCTCAACAGTGAAAGGCATGTGCTTAGCTTGGGGAACTGTTTATAATTAGTTCTGGCTGGGAATGAAAGTAATTCCCAGCATTGCAATAAAATAGGTTTTGCTTTTAAAACAAGTTTGTGTTTAAGTACGTTTGACAAAGCCTGGGTCAGAATAATAGCATACTCTTCAGACTATAGAACAGTACTTGGCTACGGGCAAAGAAATAAAATCAGATTGATCCAATAATAACATCTTGAGATAAAGCAAATCGGAACGAGGCTATTAGTGGAGACTGGAAATAATCATACCTGCCACGCACCTGATTTGATTTAATTTGATTTGCTCCTTTAAGTATTCCTTTTTTTTTCCTGTTTCTTTTCTTTTATTCTCATTTTTCTTTTTTTTTTCTTTTTGCATTTTGGGTTTCTATTTTTCGTCTCTTTTTCTGAGTACGGTTTTTATTATTACTGTATTTTTCTTTAATAAAAAGTAGTTTTATGCAAAAAAAAAAAAATGGCCAAGAAAACTTGCAAGCACTGTAAGGAAAGAATTTTGTTTTCTCTTAACATACAATCTTAAAAAGACCTTGTCAAGGAGAAGTAGCTTTCCCCAAATTAAAGCACTGGCACATTCTGGGAAATAATCTGATATTTTGATCTAGAAGAGGGGTCCCCCAATCTCTGGGCTGTGTCCCACTACCAGGCGTTGGCCTATTTGCAACCACGCTGCGTGTGGTTGTGGTTAGCCGGCAGCAGGTGCGGACAGCTGAGGAGAGCGAGGACTCAGATGAGGGGCCGGGACCATCAGGGAGTGGACTGCTGCCTTCAGAGATTGTGGGGGCTGGCAGCAGCGATGAGGAGGTTCCCGAGGAGCCTGTGCCAAGTGCACGTGCACAAAGGATTGCTCGGAGGAAAGAACAATTACAGCAGCACAGGTGACTCGAGAGTAAAGCTGCAAAGTAATGGTCCCTCCCTCAAGAGGATAAAAGCCAGGTTTGGAAAAGCGTTCTTTGCAGACAGCAAAGAAGCTCTGAAGCTCAACTGGTAGACATCTTAGTTCGTGTTTGGAGAATCTTGTAAATGAGTTCTTATCTCTGGGTTTTTGGCAGCCTTGACAAACACCTTGGCAAGGCTCTTTCTTGTCGGAGCTAATTAGTGGAAAGCAGCCTTCAGAACAGAATTCGTTATTAAACCTTAAAAAGTGGGGGCTGCTGCCTTTGTCTGTGTTTGCTCTTTGGGAACCCAGTTGGGTCCAGAACAGCGTTCGACTTGTGCGAGCGATACGCCAGCCCGCATGTGTAAGCACACACGTGCATGCACACACATGCATGCACACACCTGACTTGCACAAGTCAAGCTGCACATGCATGCACGCACCTGCCCACAACTCACATGATCTGGTTCCCCTCTTCCCCCCGCACCCAGCCAGTGATTTGGACCGCTAGTCTAGAAGTTCCAGGTGTGAAAAATGTGCTTGATTTTTGCAAGCGTGCCTCATTCTGTATCCTAGTTTCGCTCTTTTGAGCGACTTACCTTTGTCAGCCCTTCATATTTCCCATAATCCGTGTTCTTTAACCACTCCATAAGTTTGGCATACCGGAGCAGGTCTCGGTGAAAAGGGTGATGGTTTGGCAAGGTCAGCTCCGCAGAGTGCTGAGCAAGGGTGGAGCTCTGGTCATGGCCCTTTGCGGAAGGAAGCAACAGAAGGAAGCTGCTTGAATAAATGATGGCGGTAAACCTGCCAAGCCAGACAGATTGCCACCGAATCACAGAAAAGAAGCTCTGCTTGTTGGTTAGTGAGGCCTTCCTGCTGTTCTGCGAAAAACAATGATGGCTGTAACATTCAGAAACAACATAAAAGACAAAAGAAACACTGGATTATAGATTAACCACAAGGCATCCTTCTTATCAGGAGTTGCTTCTGCTGAAAAGTTCAAGGTGGCCCTCATGAAAACTTATAGTTGGATTAATTCATATCAATTTATACCAATAGACAAGGGTTTCAATTATCTGTGAGGCAAAAATTAATCTCTATGTGTAATCTTTGCCTTGGCTCACACTCTTCAATCTTGCCAAGTAGGATTTGTTACAGGTAAGTCCTACGACTATAGGTGAGCCCAAAATGGAGGTTGCTGGGTGAGACATTTGTTAAGGGAGTTCTGCCCCATTCTACGACCTTTCTTGCCACGATTAAGTGAACCACTGAACACGTAGCAAGGTTGTTAAGTGAATCTGGCTTCCCCCATTGACTTGGCTTGTCAGAAGGTCGCAAAAAGGGGATCACAGGATCCTGGGATGCCGCAACCGTCATAAATGTGAACCAGTTGCCAAGCATCTGAATTCTCATCACGTGACTATAGGAATGCTGCAACGGCCGTAAGGGTGAAAAACCAGTCACGGGACCTTTTTTTTCCAGCATTGTTGTAACTTTGAAACGGTAACTAAATGAACTGTAAAAAGCAGGGATAGGATTCTACCGATTCGGGCAGGTTCGGGAGAACCAGGTGTTAAGTTTTTATCAGGTTCGCCGAACCGGTATTTCAACCCAACTGGCCCCACCCACCCCTCCCGGGAGTCTCCATGCGATGCAGGTAAATGCAGGGTTTGCGTGGAGGCTCTGGGAGGGCTATTTTCACCCTCCCAGAAGCCTCCGGACCCTGGGGAAGGCAAAAAATGGCAGTCCTGAAAGTACCAGAAGTCCAGAAACGGGCCTGTTTCCAGCTTCCGGTGGGCCTCCAGAGCCCGGGAGAAGCCATTTTCACCCTCCCAGAGGCCTGGGGAAGGCCTCCGGATCCTTGGGAAGGCTAAAAATAGCCCTCCCGGAAGTACCAGTAGGCCACGCCCACCATGGCCATGCCCAACCAGCAACCGGGCAGCGAAATTGGTTGCTGGGATTTTTTAATCCCAGTTATAAGTTGAGGACCACCCGTACAAGCATTTGACAGGCAACTCCAGATAAGATGTTAACACAAAGCAGTGCTAGTTAACAAACACCGTTCACGTACATGTAAGCCACGCCGTTGACCAATTATTTGTCTACAAGGGGGGAAAAAAACAAGACCTGATCAATGTGACCCAACTTCTTCACTTTCCTTCGATAAAAATTACAAGAAAATCATTATCACTGTATCCTGGGCTTGATAGCAATAGCACTTATATACCACTTTATAGTGCTTTACAGCCCCTCCCTAAGCAGTTTAACAGAGTCAGCCTATTGCTCCCAACAATCTGGGTCCTCATTTTACCCACCTCGGAAGGATGGAAGGATGAGTCAACCTTGAGCCTGGTGGGATTCAAACTGCCAAACTGCAATAGGAGTTGCTTGCAGTGCTGCACTCTAACCACTGCGCCACCGAGGCTCATCATTGATAAAACTTGAATAAATAGCAAAATGAGATTGACCCAACATTGATATGTAGAATTTATATTTACTAGGATAATCAGTTAATCTACACATTTACCTATAGCAAGGGTCTTCAAACTTGGCAAGTTTAAGACTTGTGGACTTCAACTCCCAGAATTCCTAAGCTAACATGACTAGAGGAGGAATTCTGGGAGTTGAAGTCCACAAGTCTTAAAGCTGTCAAGTTTGAAAACCCCTGACCTATAGGTAGGCAGATTTCCTGCTTTCTAGCCTGGGACCTCTGCCACTAGACTAAGCTGGATCTCCAAGGAATATCCTCACTAGTTACTACCCGTATTAGCACAACAGTCATTTTAGTGGGAGCCTCAGCAACATGCTTTCAAAATTTCCATCCTCCTTCTTGCAAAAAAAAAATTTGTCCCCGTTTGCTCTAGCAAACCCATTTTCCCAGGGTGAATTCTTATGCAGTTGAAACTGGATAATCCATTCACAACATGGAAGGCTTTGGGAAAAACCCATGTTTTGCAAGAAAACAAAAAGAATTAACAAAACATTTCTCAACTGGACAAAAGGCTCCAATGAGTCAATGAGAACCAAGCACAAACCAGCTTCTAGGGAGGGAATAAGGGACCTATATATACTTTAGTAATTGGGAAGAATGATCTAATGGGGGAAAAATGTACCTTTGGAAATGATCCATTATGATAGAGCTAACAAATGAGGGCATCCATGCGTAATTCTTAAACAACACATTTGGATGCACTTTAATCCCACGTTTCATATTAACCATATATTTTAATCACCATCCATCTAAATTCAGTATCTTCTCATTGGAGATATATTTCTTTACTAGGCGCACAAAGTGTAAAAGGTTTAACGAAGACGTAGCAGTCACAAAGACGTAACCTTCCACTCATAAGCCGTGTTTTCTATTTTAGAGAGGCAACACTGCAAGAAATAGTTAGGTTTAGCAAGCTTGGTTTAAAAAGAGGCCAAGTAGAATTCAAGCAGCTTGATTTCAAACTCTATACTCACAGAAACTGAAAGATAGTAGGCCCTGTTACTCAGACCTTTCTCCAGTTCAATAAACTATTTGGAGATAAAATACAGGGGTAAAAATAAAAAACACAGAGAATTTAATAGATTTTTGCCTAAACAACCCATTAGAGAGCTTGAATGGTGAATGTAACACTTTAGGATGAATTGCTTTGGAATAAATGTACAATTGCAGAGCCATCTGGAGATCACTATAAACTACTTCTATATCTACATCTACATCTACATCTATATATCTATAATCTGTCTGTCTGTCTATCTATCTATCTATCTATCTATCTATCTATCTATCTATCTATCTATCCATCCACAGTATGGTATACAGGCTTGACAGCTGTGGACAAAAAGGCATTACAGAGGGTGATGAGCACAGCACAAAAAATTATGGGCTGTCTGTCCCCTGACACCACGGATGAAATCGCCAGGACCCACTGCCTCAGGAGAGTGAAGAAAATCTCAGGGATGATTCACACCCTGGTCAGAGCCTCTTTCCTCTCCTACCCATCGGGCAGGAGATATAGAAGCAGAGCCAGCCAAACAAATAGGCTGAAAAACAGCTTTTATCCATGGGCTGTCAGACTTCTGAACGCAACATAAACACCACAATTAGGTTTAATATGGTAGATTTGCAAGGCCAGCACCCAGGGAGGCTCATTTCAATTTCATCGTCCCCATGTTGTGCGTTGACAAACGTTTGGTTTGATTTGATTTGATTTCTAACAACTCACACATTTCAGTTAACGAACAGAATCATCTGGGTGGGGCTTTACTCGTTTGCACAGCCCTGTTTCTGGCACACCAAGGACCGGTACCAGTATACGGACCGGGAGTTGGGGTCTCCTGCCCTACAAGGCTGCATCTGCCTAAGATATTCACAATTGGGATGTTATGCTTTTTGGCTTGGTCCAGCTCTTTGAAGAGTGCTTCAAAGAGTGTTTCAACCTTGACATGCTGGCTGGAGAATTTTGGAAATTAAAGTCCACACATCTTAAACAATCAAGATTGAAGAGCAGTGGCTCAGGTATTTGGGGCATGGATATAGCCTTTTAATGCAATGAAATTTCACTTTAATGTATGCCAATTAGTGTACATTCAAAGTGGCAATAAAGTTATTCTATTCTATTCTATTCTACTCTATTCATATTGTGGATTGTTTATTTTCTCATTTATTCTAGGATGCTAGACATAACTCCAAAGGAGACCTCTTTTAGATGGCAATATATCAATCCATATAACTATACTAATCACTACTTTTTCAGAACATCTTACTATGATAGAGTAAAATGCAGAAGGCTTACATGGATAAAGGCTATTCTAGTCGACCTTAGTGCTATTGTACAATAAAAAGTTTTGTCCTGGATTTGACTCAACACCAGCTTGCTTCTATCAAAACCTCACAACTAATACATTTTTTTTCCATATGGTATAATTATAAAAATTTTGCTACAAAAGAAATTCTATCCTTACCTACACCTGTTACGTTAACCCTGCCAAATCTGTAGTATGCTTTTAAAACTGCCCTGAATAAATGCCAATTTCTGCATTTTTTTAAAAAAATGGATGCTGGATTTCCTACATTTAAAGATGGTACTGTAAGTGACAGTCAGTGTAAAGTTCAAATTTTGTTTTATTTCCTGGATTTCCTGCATTCATTTGGATGCACATTAGAAATCAATTGATAATTTACACAACAGGTACTGGCAACTGAAATAATTCCATTTTGTTTTCTGTTCCAAATTTTCTTAATGGAGAAGCGTGCAAGAAGATGGTTAAAAAATAGCTTTTACCAGGACACAGTTTCTTGAAAACTCTGAAAACTGAAGTAAGGAACCAACTAAAAAGTGAGAAAAGCAGCACCTGTTGAACAAAGACGTTGTTGAGATGGCTGGCTAGTCTTCGGGCAAACAGCTCACGCAGGTCACTAAATCGCTGCTGTTGTTGATTGACCGCTTGAAGCAATTCATGTCCTAAGATCAGAAGATGGATAGAGGTTTCGAAACCATAATTATTACAGGTATGTCATTCTTTGAGGGAGAAGGGCAATGTCAAGTAAATAAATAATTCAGGACAAATTGAATCGATTCGTCTCCTCTATTGCCAAGTCTACAGAAAACCTGCAGAATCCTAATTACTCTCCTTCTGAATAATATTACTGGTTTTACCATTCAATTTAATCCATTTGTATATGACAGATACAACTCTGGATGGCTAACAGTGTATGAAAAGGCATGAAAACTTTCAAGGGCCACTGAGAACAAACACAATAAACATTCGACCATGGTAACACCTCACAGGTCCTTTTAATCTCCCAACCCATCCTCTGGAGGACATCCAAGTCTTCGGTACTTGGTAAAAGGCCAGCAGGGTCAGGCCCAGGGGTGGGATTAAAAAAATGGGCGTGGCCTACCGGAACTTCCGGGAGGGCCGTTTTTCGCCTTCCCAAGGTCCTGTCATGCCCCTGTTGGAGACTGACTCCAAGGGAGAGGAGGAACAGCTGACAGGGAGTGGAAGTGTGGCTCTGGACGTTGTGGAGGAGGCTGGGGAAGGGCAGAGGCCAGCTGGGCAGTCAGAAGAAGACCCAGGCCCATCCCTCTTCGTCCTAGGACACTCAGGGAGGAACGGAGAAGGGAACAACGTGGCTTACGAGAGAAGAAGTGGCCATGATCCCCCTCATTGGTTGCAGCTGGGGGAATAGTATATAAGAGAGACGGTTAAAACACAGCAGTTGCCAGAAGCAAAGTGTGTTTTATTTCTGGCTGAGGTTTATCTTGGCTGGCGTTCTTCCAACGGACTGTGCCTTATTATCTTCTTGAAGTTTGTAATTAATTATCTGGGTCTGTTGTGGAAATTCCTTCAGTGCGGTTTGTTTCGGTTTTCATTTCTCCGTTCTCTGTTCTTTTGAGTTTGGACAATTTTGGAAAGAGTTTAATCGCCGACTGCAAACAATTGAACAGTGAGGCCAAGTTGGAGGCATTAAAGGAAATTTATTTACGTCTGGGAATTTATTACATGTGTGCTGCTTCCTGGGTCATCACAGGTCCAGAGGCTTCCCTTGGGAGGCCGAAAACAGCTTCCCCCGGGCTCTGGAGGCCCTCTGGAAGCCAGAAACAGTCTCATTTCCGGACTTCCAGGAGAGAAGTTTTTCGCCTTCCCAAGGCTTCCCCCGGGCCTCTGGGAGGAAGAAAACGGGAGCTGGAGGCCCTCCGGAAGCTGGAAACAGGTCCGTTTCTGGACTTCCAGAAGGCCCGTTTTTCCCCCTCCAAGAGCCTCCACATGGACCCTGCACTTACCTGCACTGTGCTGGGATGGGCGGGGCGGGCAGGGCCAGCCGGTCAGTTGAAATACCGGTTCGGCGAACCAAATGAAAACATAACGCCCGGTTCTCCCAAACTGGTCCGAACCGGTAGAATCCAACCCCTGGTCAGGCCCAATCAAATGTTGGAGGAATGGTATTCTACAGGACCAGGGCTATGACAAAAAAGGCCCACTGGTCTTCCAAGGGCAAACCCATATATATATATGTCAACCTTCCTAATAGGGCCAGACAGGACCAGGAAACCAACTCCACAGAAAGGCTGACAGTGAGAACAAATAATTAATCAGTGGACTGGATTAAAGGTGCACCTTAAAGGTGCTCCATCCGTGGAGGTTTCCAAGAGCAGACTGGACAGCCATGTGTCCAAAATTGCATAAGGTCTCTTGTTTGAGCAGGGATTTGGAGTAGAACAACACCAAGTTCTCTTTGAACTCTTATTATTCTGTGAATACTTGCCAATACTTGCAAGATTGGCAATAATAACAGAATCGTGCAAATCTGAGTGAGCGGCCTCACCAACTTACACTTCATGAATTAAGCAGGAATCTCCCTGAGTCACTTAAAATTTTATCTGGATTTAAAAAATGCTTCAACCCCCTTCTGCCTAGGCCAGGAGTCGGGAACTATGGCCCGGACTGGCCATAGGAATTCTGGGAGTTGAAGTCCACAGTTCATAAAGCGGCCATAGTTCCCCACCTCTGGCCCAGGCAATGGATCCTGCATATTGTTGTCAAGATTATCTTCCTTTCTCTGTAAAATATGCAGAGCTCCTGCTATCTGACACTAATCCAGAGGCCCCATATAACAGTCGGGTTGTGCCTAGTTCCACGTAAAATAAGACACAAAAGCAACTGAACCTGCCTGAATTATAATAGGGTAAATATGGCTTATTCCTAAAATAATAAATTGAGGACAAGCTTACCTTTTTCTAGCCCCAAACACTCACATTTAAATCTTTAACATTTATTGTAGTTAAAACAAAATTTGAACTTTACACTGACTGTCACTTACAGTACCATCTTTAAGCATATTTTTTTACTTTGTTTGGTTAATGACTATAACAAAGATTGATCTGGTTTTAGGTGTTTTTGAGAACTTAAAAGCAGAACATTTCAATCAGAGGATCTGGTCACAATGTACACCGCTGTTCGTTTGTTTTTAATGCCTACCTGGCTGAAGAGCTACATTCATGCATTGTAGAAGTGCATCTGCTGCATTTGTGCAAGCCTCAATGCCGCGTGAAGAGGAGAGGTCTCCTTCTTGGAGGGCCTTGATGTGGCCCTTGGCCAAGTCCATGTGGTTCTGCAACAACAGGGGAAGCCAACTCTCAAGCACAAATTTACTTTTCTTAGTTATAAAAAAAAAAAAAAAACAAGCCCAACTATTCTTTTTTTTTTCTTCAACGCGTTTTAATAAGATCATTTCAATCACGCTTCCTCAAAACTACCACCTTCCAGATATCCTCCTGAATTAAAACTTGTCTCCAAAGTTTTACCACAGAGTCTCGAGGATTTGTGGAGGCATATTAAGAGAGCTAGTTTGGTTTCATGGTTATGGCAGTAGGCTAGAAAGTGGGAGACGGTTGAACTCCAGTTTCACCTTAGCTGTGAAAATCAGCTTGGGCCAATCAACCTGTCGGCTCAATTCACCTTAGGGTGATTGCTGAGGAGACAATAAGAAGAGGAAGGTGTGTTGGATAGGTTTACTGCCTTGAGTTATTTGTAAACTTAATAAAGGCAGGATAAAATAAACAAACAAATGGATTTGCCTGTCAAGGTAACTCTACAATATCATTTATATCAGCTGCTGTTTTAATTTTTAATGCATGTATAGTTTATCTCACTCTACTTGATACTGCAGCTTATCTGTATTTACCTTTTTAAAATATATTTATATTTTCCACATTTGTTTTCTTTTTATGGCCCTGTAATCCCTTGCTTCAGGGTGGTCAGGGTGACTGAATGGAGCTCAGCATTTACTGGCCGGATGCCCTTCCCGACACTTACAAGGAGTTAGCAGAAGATTTTTTCTTCTATTTGGGCTCTCATCTATTGCTGCCTAGGACTGAACTCTCAATCTTCCAAGTGGGAGGCAAGCATCTTCACCTCTGGAACCACCTCGCCACTCATATTTATATACTTCATATATTACCTCTTATATCTCAATGACAGGTATATTGGGGTGCCCAAATCATTTGATAAACCCTGATCTAGTTCTGAAATAGTCTTTTACTAAAATTAGGGTGGTTTGTTTATTTTATCTATTATAGAATACTCCTGTGATAGTTGGATATTAGAAATGTCAATCAAAGGATGTAACAGGGGGTACCTCCTCCGCCTGAGGGAAACTCAAGTCCTTCTGGAAACTTCTGTCTATTAATATGCATTTTGTGCCAGGAAAGACAAGGACGGACAGTCAACAGATGAACTGTAAATTAGCAGTTACCAGAAATTATAAGAGGTTACTCTACACTTAATGAATCTGTTTACAGCTCATTTATAATAAAAGCTGGAAATAGTAGAAAATACTTGTAGCTCAGGTTTTATTTTTGGTGGTTTGCTCTCCAAGCTTGTTTCCATTTAGTTTCTGAATGTTTGGTTACCAGACTAGATCACAACATGACTGTCATGCCCCTGGTGGAGACTGATTCTGAGGGAGAGGAGGAACAGCCGACAGGGAGTGTAAGTGTGGCTCTGAAGGTTGTGGAGAAGGCTGGGGAAGGACAGAGGCTGGTTGGGCAGTCAGAGGAGGAGGACCCAGGCCCATCCCCTCTCCATTTTAGGGCACGCAGGGAGGAGAGGATAAGGGAGAGGTGTGAATGGCATGGTCTACAGGGGAGGAAAGGGCCTTGATCCCCTTCATGGGCTGCAGCTGTGAGAACTGGATAAGAGGGCGGACATGCGTACAGGCAAGCGCTGGAAACAAAGCGTGGAAATATCTCTAGTTTATAGTCCCTCTCTGAGTTTGGCATCCTTCCCAGTGTGTGTTATCTGTAGACATCCTCCAGCCCTTATCTTGCCTGGTTTGTGCTGTTTTTTTCCCTCCTTCTTTGTAACTGTTTGTGTGGGAGTTTTTTGTCTTCCGTCAAGGATATTTGGAGCTTGGAAGCAAAGGGAAGGAATAAAAGGAGCTTCACTGGGCTTTTGTGACTTTATTTTGTATTCCCCACCCCCCGTCATCACAATGATGATGTTACCTACTCTGGTAACGAAACATTCAGAAACTAAATTGGAACAGGCTTGGAGAGCAAACCATTGCCAAAATAATAAAAAGTTAATTTGGGCTTGGGTTTAAAGATTAAAAATGCGCTGCTTTATATTTTGCCTCCGCTCCGCTTATCATGACATCTGAGGCTTTCCTGGTGGCAACAAATCTAACAAACACTATTGTGATGTCTTTATAGAGTACAGATAGTCCTCAACTTATGACCATAACTGAGCCCCAAATTTCTGTTGCTAAGTGAGAAGTTTGTTAAGGGAGTTTTGCCCCATTTTACAACTGTTGCTAAGCAAATCACTGCAGTTGTCCAATTAGTAACACGGTTGTGAAGTGAATCTGATTTCCTCACTGAATTTTGCCCCTCAGAAAATCACAAAAGGTGATAACAAGGTCAGCGCAACTGTCCTAAATGCCAGCTGTCAAGCATCTGGATATAAATCACGTGACCATGGGGATGTGTTGTGGTTTGCCAGCAGCAGATGCGGACGGCTGAGGTCTCGGAGAGCGAGGACTCAGGTGAGGGGCCTGCGTGTGATGCAGGGATGGGGCCAGGACCACCAGGGACTGGAATGCTGCCTTCGGAGCTTGGGGAGGCTGGCAGCAGTGATGAAGAGGTCCCCGAGGAGCCTGTGCCCGGTGTGCTCAAAGGCTCAGGGCTGCTCAAAGGAAAGAGCAGCTGCAGCAGCATGGGCGACTCAGGAGTAAGGCTGCAAGGTAATGGCCCCTCCCTCAAGAGATAAAAGCCAGCTGAGAAACCGGAGTTCTTTGCAGGAAGCAAAGACATTTTTGCACTTCAAGCCTGGTGGATGTTCGGCATATCTTGGTTGGTGTTTGGAGACTCTTTGTGTTTGAAATATTCTTAGCAACTTTATCTAATGTTCTTGGCAGCCTTGCACCACCTTGGCAAGGCTGATTCTTATCAGAGATAATTGATTTTAACCGTGAAGGAATGGAATTCGTAAAGAATCATTAAAAGGTTTTGCTGTTACCTCCGTTTCATGTTTGCTTCCTTGGAACCAGGTTTGGGTCAGAACAAGGATGCTGCAACGGTCATAGGTGTGAAGAAGGGTCATAAGTCACTTTTTTTCAGTGCCATTGTAACCTCAAACAGTCACTAACTGTGAACTGTGGTCAGTTGAGGACTACCTGTAGTGGCATTATGTTTTGATTCTAACCAAGAAGCAAACCCATAAAACATTAGAACGTGTATAACTCCAAGTACTTTTGTATGGATGATGCATAGAATTAAGAATGTTTCAATGCTTACAACAAGGAACTCTATCTCCGACAGCAGTTTTAGGTTGTTTGTGTTGCTGAGATGAATTAGATGGTTGCTTTCTGAAATCTGATCCATTTGTTCTTTCACACTCCGGAGCATGTCCTCGTAACTGCTCAGCTTCCATTCGATTTGGTCCACTTCTTTCAGAGCGTCATCCAGCAATTTCATCAAAATGTTCACCTGTTTCTCAGAGGCCATAATCGACTGGATGTTTGCCTAGAAAGCCAGCAGCAAAAGGAACCAATCAACGGATTGGCAAGTCAACGCAACGGGTGACTGCAGCACCAACAACTGGCAGCAGGACTTCTATTGTATTTCTTTCTTCACTTGGCTACTCGCTCACAGTGACTCAAGGTAGCTTAAAACAGCGGGTCTCCAACCTTGGCAACTTTTAGAGACTTGTGGACTTCAACTCAGAAAACTTCTCAGGAAACAACAACTGAATGAGAAACTGGTGGTGACCTTCTACCGCTGCACCATAGAGAGTATCTTAACTTACTACACCTCTGTATGGTTTGCCAATTGCACAGTGGCAGATAGGAAAGCACACCAGAGGGTTAATGTCATTGCCCAGAAGATCATGGGTTGCCCTCTCCCCTCTTTGGAAGAGCTTTATAGCTCCTGCTGCCTTAAAAAGGTTCAAAACATTCTCAAAGATCCATCTCATCCTGAGAACACTTTTTTTGAACTATTACCATCTGTTGCAGACAGTACAGGACAATAAAAACAAGGACAAATAGGCTGAAAAACAGCTTCTATCCCAGGGTAGTAGCTCTGTTGAATTCTACTGTACAGTACTGTGTCGGTGTGGTGTCGGGGGTTTTCGGTTCAATGTGTGGAGTGTGAAGGATGTGCATTTGTGTTTATTTTCATGGTCATGATGTGCCCTGAAGATGGTGTTTAATTTCGTTGTACGAGGTGCAAATGACAATAAACTAAACTCCCAGAATTCCTCAGCTGGCTGAGGAATTCTGGGAGTTGAAATCAACAAGTCTTAAAGTTGCCAAGGTTGGGAGACCCCTGGCTTAAAACACAATATACAGTGAAAGAAATAAAAAATACTAAAATAATAACCCCCACATCATTGGTACAGAAGAAAACAGCCTTACCCCATCAAGAACTTGTAGCTCTCTAGACAACTTATCTGCAAAAGCTTCTGCATTAGAGATAGCATATTCACAGCCTTCCATCATTATTTCAATATCTTGCTCTTCTCTAGCATTTAATTCTTGATATTCATCCACCGCCTCTTCGTCTGTTCCTCCCACATTCTGGTTTTCACCACTGGGAACAGATTCTAAAGAGGAGGGGGAAAGAGGTGGTCATAATTTATGAAAAAATGAATATAGCTGGACTGGCCATCAAAATCATTCCGGATAATTCTAACTGACCGTACACACGTAGCATAAAGATATTCTGCTTAAATTTGATCCACGTTCTTAATCAGTTACTGAGATATTCATACATTGAAATTTTACAATGCTCCATGATTTTTAATCAAATTGCAAAACAAGAATGTTCCTCTTGTTTCAGCAACAGAAAAAGAGATATTAATTATGATGGAAAAAGTTAGAAAAATCTGTTATATTTCCTTCAGTGGATGCAACATTAGAAACAACAAAAGTAGTAACAAGGATGCATAACTTTCAGCAACAGTAATAAAAGGACATTTCTCAGCAGTGCCTTCTTTCAGTTATTTTAATCTGCATATTATTACAATATAGCTCATAAATTATTACTTCTCATAATTAAGGAAGCATAATAGCTAATTCTGGAACCTATCCTGTTTTTCATTTAAATTTAATATTGAGGAAAAATTAAGCCATAAGACCACAATTTATGACATTTTTGCTGGAAACTTGGTGTTTACTTTTGGTTTACAGTAAAAACCAACCCATGGGGTGAACAATGGGTTTGCTTAACGGCCACTGCAAAAATTGGTCTCACAACCAATGAATGAAATTTCAGGCTCAATTAGTTGTAAATCGAGAACTACCTGTAAATGTTCTCCTTAAAACATTACCATATATGCAAGTCAGTGTGAGATTCAAAAAAAAATTACTACCGGTTCTGTGGGCGCGACTTGTGGGTGTGGCTTGGTAGGCGTGGCAGGGGAAGGATACTGTAAAATCCCCATTCCCTCCCCACCCCACTAACCTGCTTTCCAGCTCTGTTTTCCTTTGCAAGGCAACCAAAAAAGATCCAGCCAATCAGCTGGGACTCGGGAGGCGGAGAATAGATGGGGCGGGGCCAATCAGAGGTGGGATTTGCCAGTTCTCCGAACTACTCAAAATGTCCGCTACCAGTTCCCCAGAATTCGTCAGAACCTGCTGAATACCCACCTCTGATGCAAATGAGACTTCCATGTGACTTGTTATTTTAGCAAGTAATCACATTGTTCTGCAATTATATCTTGCTCAATTTTAAAGAGGTGAACTAGGCTTAGCCTAGCTGAACCTGTATATTAAAACCTGTAGGATAGCTTTCAGCCCATTTATTTAATGAGAAACCCGTGGCACTCTGGATATTACTAAACCACAATTTTAAATATTTCTCTTGTTTCCCAGACTGGAAAAAACACTGCTGGGAAATACATTTCAGCAATGTTTTAAGTTCATCATACCACTTCTGATCGTAGAATAGCTGTTAGCTTATTTACGGAAATAGTGATTTATCTGTTCAACAATAACTTTTATTTAAGGCATTGGGAAAACCCACCAGTGACCACTAAAAAATAAATAACTAAGATTTGTCTGTTTTTAAACTTTAACCAATAATATACCATACTAGCTCTTCTCTCTCTCTCTCTCTCTCTCTCTCTCTCTTTCTCTCTCTCTCTCTCTCTCTCTCCCTTGCTCCCATTCTTAGACTTGCCAAATCTAGTAAAAAGTAAGCTCAAGTCAGTTCAATATAATTTATTCCCAATTTTGTGTGCTCTGGTTTAATATAGTAACTTAAGTGTAGGATGTGAGTAGAAAATATATTGATGAATGTGGTCTGATTTCAGATTGTAAGCAAAATATTGAGTTTCAAGCAACTTTGGATGAACAAAGAATCAAATACTTATTTACTTGTTAACCAAACTTATTTACTTGTTAACCAAACTTATTTACTTGTTAACCAAACTTTCCACCAAAAAACTTAGTCTTAACTTACACAAAAAGTCAATTCAATATTGTACTGAAAAGGCAGATTCTGAAAATTCTCATCAAAAACTATTTAAGTGATTGAGTTTTTGCACTCTGTCTTCATATTTAAATTCCGTTCAACAGCCCATTGTTTAAAAACCTCTGAGTAATATTTTTAGCTGAATTTGCTGACATTTCTGACAAAACCGGAATGAAGTATCTGCTTAGTGAAGCATTATACACAATTTTAGAGCAAAAGCAATTGAATTAGTATCACAGAGGAAGAAATACGGAAGGGTGTTACGCACCTTCAGTGACTTTAGGTAGCTCTGGAGAATTGAAAGTATGAGAAAAGCAGAGGAGAAGAAGCAAAGAATATTAGCTAAGCAGTCAATGAACACAATTTGGCAACAATTTGTCTCTGTTACAAATTTTTTTGAAAACTTAGAAGAACATTAAACAAACTACAAAGCAGATTTCTTTGCAGCTATGTAACTCCTGGATGATCAAATGAATTATTATGAAGTTTAAGATTATACCAGGTTAGGAGTTTAATAATTAAGGCTACCCTCACTACAACAAAATTGTGTTCAGTTATTGTGAGAAGAAACAGGTTAAGCCTGCCAACCTGGGTTTATTACAAAGCAAATCTGATAAGTTGCTATAAGTGCTGTATTTAATTTGCCAAAAATCTCCCAAACCTACTAGCCGAGCATGTCTACACCGTGGCGTTTGACTTAGACCTTACATAGGTGGCATCATAACCAAATTCCCAAGATATAAATGACACAACTCACACTGCATATAGAAGTAGGATTTCCCTACAATAGGATACACAAGAAAAAAGGAATCCTATATAATTTTATGGTCTAAAGTTACATGCACAGATCCACATTAAAGTCATAATTAAGGGGCAGATGTGTTACGTAAAAGTAGTAAAAGTTCATTCCCAGAAATACATGAATTGGGAAAGTTTTGTTTAAGACTGAGGTTGGGTCAGGCTGAGTTTGGGGAAATTTACTTTCATAGATTCTAATTCAGAGATCCATTCATTATACCAAATGAATAAAGTTTGAATATTGTGAAAGTGATAAAGACTGCAACCTCCACTGCAATTATTTCATGTTCTGAATACAGGATCAGATTCAAGTTGAAAGACACTTGAAAGTCAAGGAAACTACTTATATTAGAAATAAGAAAAATAGGAACGACAATATGAATTTTCTACTTGCTTAAACAAATGCTAAATTTAGAGACAGCATAGCAAGGATTCATCCAAAATCCTTTACCTTCCAGAAGCTGAGAACTAACATTGATGAAGTCAATTTTCTTTCTAATATACCGCTGATTGAGTTTCCAAATACACGAAATAAAAGTATTCTTTTCTGCTATACTGCTAGCAACCCATTTATATACTTTGTCAAAATGCAGATCAAATTCAGAACTTTCCTGAAAAACAGAAAGGACAGAAATGTCAACTACCATACTCTCTTCTTAAACAACAAATTTGCAAGTTTAAAGATGATTACAGAGCAAAAGTGCATCTAGGGCATAGTTTTCTCTAGAAATTAAGGATGCAGCCTGGTAAATATTACCACGTTCACTTGATACCAGGTAAGTATGCAAAACAAGAATAACCTTGATTTCCAATGATCATTGAATAGCAATAGCACTTAGGCTTATATACTGTTTTATAGCGCTTTACAGCACTCTTTACGCGGTTAGCAGAGTCAGCCTCTTGCCCCCAACAATCTGGATCCTCATTTTATCAACCTTGGAAAGATGGAAGGCTGAGTCAACCTTGAGCCGGTCGGGATCAAACTCCTGGCTGTGGGCAGAGCCAGACTGCAATATTACATTCTAACCACTGTGCCACCTAGCTCTACAATGAAATGATAACAGCATAACAATCTGTTCAGATGAAAAATTATGCTTTGTACGGTGAAGATGGACTATTGTACTTTAGACATACTTTGATGGCATCCTTGGCGTCAACAGCAGTCAGATCCCGAAGCTCCCATGCAATCTGCCTCTTGTAGAAGTCACCTTTATCGGATTTTTTTACCTTGATCACCTTCACCTGCACTGGGCGTTCAGTTGTCACTGTTTAAGGACAACATATGGTTAAGCACTCAAGAAAATATGCATTTCGCCACAAATACATTTTTTTTGGGGGGGGGGGGATCAGCACTTAAACACATACTTTCCCCAAGTTGCTTTAAAGAAAAAGTAAAGCTTCCAGAATGGGTAGTAGGTAATTCATAATGGCAGAAAAAATACTCTTGAGGAATAAATCAAGCAAGAATCTCTCCAAAACACCCCCAGGTTAACTAATATTTCAAACTTGATGACAATATGAACCATCAGAGTGTTTTAAAACCCCAAAACGTGCAGAAATAAATTATTTAAAACCTCTAACTGCAATACAGTTGGAGCTTTCTCTGGAATGGGGAGCAAACTAAGAGCTGATGACAGTTAATCAGTAAATCAACCCCATGCAAGTAAAACTGGGATTGAGTGCTCACAACATATAACTGGCCTCAAAACATTATCTTCCTCACATGTTTGTTAATTCAGCTATGATTTGCTAGATAGGTTTTTTTTATATGAAATACTTTCATTAATAGAGACAAATGCATCAGCTTTTGGAAATTTTCCCTCAGATATCTTTTAGTCATTGATCTTAAGATCTAAAGCTTTATAGCAAAATCTTTTCTGGGTAATATGTAACAATGTACAATGGCTTCTTCTAAAAGAAAATTCAAGTTTTATTTACTGTCACCAATGTGCATAGTATGTAATAATCTTTACATTACACATGGGGTATAGATACTAACAAACAAAACATTATTCCTAAATTAAGTTATCCTCGTGTACATCACAATCCATTGAACTAAAGACAAAATTTCACCTATTATTTAAAATCGACATACCTGTAGCACATAAGAAGCAGTTCCTCTTTTTTTTCCCTGCTTTGCAAACATTAACAATGCTCAGTAAACGCTCATCATTTGGAGTGAAAATATCCCTCTGTAAGGCATGCTTGATGGCTGTCATTTTCACCAAGCTGTAAAAAAGAGGGTAAAGTTATTGCATGTCTCATCGGGATCATACCAAGTGTGGCAAACTTTGTGGCGGTGTGACTACTTTTATTATAGTAATTCACAAATTTACATTGTGTTATTCAGATATAGAAACGATATGTTCTATTAAATGGATAACGCTGTTTGTTCATATTTATTCTTTGAGATAAAATGCCTTTTAAATAAAAGCTTGTCATAACAAATATTGTTTTCTATTTTCACATTAACTCATAATGATATTTCAATAGTAATTTTAAGCAATTATACATTTTAAATCGACGAATCCAAACATGTTTGACATAACTGCAATAGTAAATGTGAATCTTGAAATAAGAAATAATTTTGCAAGGGATTATTTATAGAAACTGAGGTAGCACGTAAGTTTAATATCACTGGAGGAAAAGGAAGAAGAGATAAACCTTGATACCAATGTATATTAAGGAAACAATGTAGTTAAAGTACTCCACTTAGTCAATAAAAGATATAGCAGAGTCACCTTACAGGGGAGATGAATGACATAAAAAATTAATGAATAAAATAAAAATAAATAAAATCACAGCAGCATTTGCATAATATGATAAGCCTTATTGGGGGACGCTTTTATTTGTATGAATTTAATTCATCCAGTCACTTTATATTTGGATACGTGGTCAGAATCCCCAAATGGAGTGAATAATAATAATAACAACAACAAAGTTTGGATATTGGAAGTGGCAGTACCTGGAGACAGCAGAATAGAAGAGAAAGAACTGGAGAGGATAACAAAATACAAAGACCTACAAATAGAAATAGAATGACTATGGCAAAGGCAAGCAAGCGTAGTACCAATAGTAGTAGGCGCCTTGGGTGCAGTCCCTAAACAATTAGAGCACCCCTTGAACACCATAGGCATTGACAAATTTGCCATCAGTCAATTGCTGAAGGCAGCTTTACTTGGAACAGCTTCCATCCTGCAGTGATGTCTGTAACACCATCAAACATCCAGATCTGCCTATCCCAGGTCCTTGGTAAGGACTTGATAGGTAGACAAAAATGCCAAACCCAGTCTGAACATCTGGCTGACTGTGCGATGAATAATAATGCTCTTTTTCCTCCTAAAGCAGCCATCTATTCCTCTCAATTCATTGCAATCATCATCATCTTTTTCATCCTAAAGCACTCATCTGTTCCTCTCAATTCATTGCAATAATAATAACAGCTTCCACAGAACGAATGCAATCAAAGCCAGAGTAGAAAAATCTGCTGATGACTCCAAATGCAGACTCTGCAAAGAAGCAGATGAAACCATTGATCACATACTGAGCTGTTGTAAGACAATCGCTCAGCCTGACTACAAACGTCGCTCAGATGGTTCACTGGAACTTGTGTCACAACTACCATCTGCCCGTAGCAAAGAACTGGTGGGATCATAAGCCCGAAAAGGTGCTTGAAAATGAGCATGCAAAACTACTGTGGGACTTCCGAATACAGACTGACAAAGTTTTGGAACACAATACCCCGGATATCATGATTGTGGAGAAGAAAAATGTGTGGATCATCGACATTGCCATACCTGGTGACAGCAGAATCAACAAGAAACAACTTGAAAAAAATCACCAGATATCAGCACTTGAGAATCAAACTTCAGAGACTCTGGCATTTATGCAGGTGGTTCCAGTGGTACTCAGCACACTGGCTGTTGTGCCTAAAAACACAGCAAACGAGATAACCATGCTGGGTTTCATATCACAAATCACTAATCGAACACTTCCCAAGTGTTTAGGACTGCATGATGTATCAGCGGGTTATGTGAGCAGATCCCAGTAAGGTGGCCTTCTGCAGTTGACCAAGGGTGATCTTGTCAGTGCCAATTGTTTTCAAGTGCTTGCCTAGGTCTTTAGGCACAGCACCCAGTGTGCCAAGTACCACTGGAACCACCTGCACTGGTCTATGCCAGAGTCTCTGCAGTTCGATTCTCAAGTCCTGATATCTGGTGATTTTTTTCAAGTTGTTTCTTGTTGATTCTGCTGTCACCATGTATGGCAATGTAAACGATTCCATTGCCATAGCTAGTGACAGCAGAATCAATGGATCGTCGACATTGCCATTATTATTATTGTTGTTGTTATTGTTGTTGTTCACAAAAATGACAGTATACTCATCAGATGAGATAATCATGCTGGGTTTTTGTATCACAAATCACTAGTCGAACACTTCCCAAGTATTTAGGAATGTGTGACGTATCGGTGAATCATGTGAGCAGATCCCAGTAAGGTGGCCTTCTGCAGTTGACCAATGGGGATCTTGTCAGCGCCAATTGTTTTCAAGTGCTTGCCTAGGTCTTTAGGCACAGCACCCAGTGTGCCAAGAACCACTGGAACCACCTGCACTGGTTTATGCCAGAGTCTCTGCTGTTCGATTCTCAAGTCCTGATATCTGGTGTCTTTTTCAAGTTGTTTCTTGTCAATTCTATCACCAGGTATGGCAATGTGTTGTTATTGTTGTTATTATTTGCTGCTCAGCTCCTACAGCCACTCTGGACAGTTTTAATCACAGGCTTGTGAACGTTGTCAATTTTGTACCCTATTTGGCACTGCCTCTTCCCAGGAAAACTGAGCCAAAAGATTTACATTCCGCTTTTGGAAAACAACAACAACGACGATCATTTTTTCTTTTTATCATCTTGCTCCCTTTCAATTAAAGAATACGGTCCAGGAAGAGAGAATCTTGGCCAGAGGTCTCCAACCTTGGCCACTTGAAGACTTGTGGACTTCCACTCCCAGAATTCCTCAGCCAGCAAAGCTGGCTGAGGAATTCTGGGAGTAGAAGTCCACAAGTCTTCAAGTGGCCACGGTTGGTCTTGGCCAAAGATGGAGAAAGCCAGCAAGATTTTGACAGCGGCCCAGGGAAAGAAGGACACCCACACACACACACACCCAGCAAAACGAAGCCCAGGACCGTCGGACTCCGGGGCTGCCAAACTCCGGACAACCACCAAGAGGCAGCCAAGAGCAGACGGCTTTTTGTCCCTTGGAAGAGGATTCGTGTTCCATCAAGCGGCCGGCCGGAGTTTTTGGGAGCCCGCCTTTAAAGAAGAAGGGAGGAAAAAGCCGGCGGAAGCAGCCCTCTACCGACCGACCTTCCCCGCGCCTCCCACCCCGCCCCCCCCCCCCCCTCCTTCCCCGGCGCCCGGACGGTCCCCCCCCTTGCAGCCTCCGCCGCTCCCGCGAAGCTCAGTCCACTCCCAGGCTCTACCGTCCCGCCTTCTCCATCCCGGCAGAACTTCCGGCTTCGGTCACGTGACAGAGGCGGAAGCATTCCGGAAGAGGCTTGGACAGCGAGAAAAGGAGGCGTGGAGTCGGAGGGTAGAGAGGCGCGTTACTAAGCGTCCGCTTCAAGGGTTTGTCCCCCCCCCCTTTTTATTTTTTTCCCCTTCTCCATTGCTCTCTTCTGATTCCTTTTACTGCAGGAGTGGCGAACGATGGTCCTTTTTTAATGACTGGTGGACTTCAACTCCCAGAATTCCTTTTCTTTCTTTTCCTTTCTTCTTTCTTTCTCTTTCTTCCTTCCTTCCTTCTTCCTTCCTTCCTTTTCTTTCCTTTCCTTCCTTCCTTCCTTCTTCCTTCCTTCCCTCGGCTCCTTTTCTTTCTTTTCCTTTTCTTCCTTCTTTATTTCTTCCTTCCCTTCCTTCCTTCCTTCCTTCCTTCCCCTCAGCTCCTTTTCTTTCCTTTTCTTCCTTCTTTCCTCCCTCCTTCCTTCCTTCTTTCCCCTCAGCTCCTTTTCTTTCCTTCCTTTATTTCTTCCTTCCTTCCTCCTTCCTTCCCCTCAGCTCCTTTTCTTTTCTTTCCTTTTCTTCCTTCCTTCCTTCCTCCCTCCCTCCTTCCTTCCTTCCTTCTTTCTTTCCTTCCCCTCAGCTCCTTTTCTTTTCTTTTCAAGAGGCAACTGGACTTTCTGTGGTTTTTTTTTAGACCTTTCGCTTCTCATCCAAGAAGCTTCTTCAGCTCTGACCGGATGGTGGGGAATGGAAGAATTCATATTCCTTGAAGACAGCTGATCATTTGCATCCTTTTAGTGGGTCGTTAAGGTCACCTGGCAGTTTATCTGTGTCATCAGGGTCACCTGAGTGTGGGGCCTTCTTGGACTGTTTTGTAGGACTGTAGAAAAGACTACAACACAGTCCTTTCAACAGTTCCAAGGCTTCACACTAATCTGCACCACTCAGGTGACCCTGAGGACACAAATAAATACCCAAGTGGTCTCAACAACTCTCTAAAAGGATGGAAATGACCAGCTGTCTGCAAGGAGTATAAATCCTTCCATTCCCCCCGCCCATCCAGTCAGAACTGAAGAAGCTTCTTGGATGAGAAGTGAAACATCTTCAAAGAAAAAACCAGAAAGTCCAGTTGCCTCTTGAAGGAAAAAAAAGCACCTTTGGAATAAGGGGCCATTAGTTCCCCACCTCTGCTTTATTGCCAAGCTGGAGTATTGGTCCCTCCTACCCTGTGGATATGAGACAGGGCTTGCAATTTCTCAGTTTCGCCGCTTCTTAAAAGGTTTTCAAATGTCCCTAAAATGTAAACCCAGAGACTCTTATTTCAGTGTTTTTCAAACTTGACAACTTTCCGATCTAGGAACTTCAACTCCCAGAATTCCCAGCCACCAGGCTGCTAATAACTTGAATTCCCAGCTTATAGGGTTTCTAAGATTTTAGGATGTTACGATCTTCGTGCATCTTAAAAGTTGCCAGGTTTGAAACACACTGATTTATGTGGAGAATTGGACTGGGTTATTCTACAAAAAAAATTATCAGCCTCAGCAATTTTAAAAATTAGTCACAGGAGTGCCTCAGAGTAAATTTGATCTACCAGGCCAGATGAGGAGCAACGATGATTAGGAGACTGGAGGCTAAAGCATATGAAGAACAATTGGAGGAATTGAGTATGTCTAGTTGAATGAAAAGAAGAACTAAGGGTGACATGATAGCAGTGTCCCAATATCTATGGGGTTGCTACAAAAAAAAAAGAGGGAGTCAAATCTATTCTCCAAAGCATAAAAGGACAAGAAGCAATGGATGGAAACTAATCAAAGACAGAAGCAACCTATTGTAAAGCTAAGGAGAAAGTTCCTGACAGTAAGAACAATTAATCAGTGGAACGACTTGCCTTCGGAAGTTGTGAATTGCAATAGCGCTTAGACTTATATATCGCTTTATAGTGCTTTACAGAGTCCGCATGTTAGTGTTTGGGGATAAACCCCCGAGCTGAGTGCACAGCAGCAGTCAAGCCAGGCAGCCAAATGAGAGAGAGGCTGGGCCCTAGAGTATACACACACTTGAGACAAATACACTGTTTGTGGTTTAAATAGGTATTTAATTCATACAGAGTTTAAGAATAGTCATTCAGTCCATATGTGAGTATCCAGTTTATCAATCCAGTTATCAAGTCTCTTTAAACAGTTAATACAATGTCTTTATCTGCTTGTATATCTTCTTCTTAAGATACCTTTCTCTCAAGTACTAACGCTGAATCCACAGCTCACCAGTAAACAGTCCTTGTGTTCAGTTGAACTTGGTATCTGGCACAGTAGCCTCCAAGGTAAGCAGATAGACGTTCCAACAACAGTAGGCAGCAAACCAGGAACAGTAAACAGTTGCATCCAGAAGCCAGGGCTATTACGTTTCCCCTCCTACCTATATGGCTGCCTGCAACCGCACCCACAATGACATTGCAGTTTCTTATGCTTAAAGCTACATAGCACTTTAGCCTAGGTTTACATATTTATTCAACCCAAACCAGTTGGAGTATCCATATACCCAACACCGCATATTACCCGCAACAATCTGGGTCCTCATTTGACCCACCTCAGAAGAATGGAAGGCTGAGTCAACCTTGAGCCTGGTGGGATTTGAACTGCCAAATTACAGGCAGCCAATAGTCAGCAGAAGTGGCCTGCCGTGCAGCACTCTAACCACTGCACCACCAAATGCTCCAATCCTGGAAGTTTTTTAAGAAGAGATTGGGCAACCGTTTTGTCTGAAATGGTATAGGGTTTCTTGCCTGAGAGGGGTTGGACTAGAAGACTCATTCTGTTACTCTGTCCTGTTCTACTATGAGTTCCAATCCCGCCTTAGGCACAAAGCCACCTGGGTGGCTTGAGCCAGTCTCTCTATCTCCCAGCCCTAGGAAGGAGGCAAAGGAAAACCACTTCAAAATACCTTGCCAAGAAAACTACAGGGACTTGCAGTCATCGGGAATCAATATTGACATGAAGGTTATACAAATATGTACATTGTATGTATGTAGTATACAGCAATAGCACATACTGGCTTTGTTGCCGAGGTTGGGATGGCAGCATACACCAGTGGCGGGATTCAAATTTTTTTACTACTGCTTCTGTGGGTGTGGCTTAGTGGGTGTGGTGTGGCGTGGCTTGGTGGGCATAGCAGTGAAGGATACTGCAAAATCCCATTCCCTCCTCACCCCACTAACCTGCTTTCCAGCTCCCTTCTCCTTTGTAGGGCAACAAAAGACCCAGCCAATCAGCTGGGGCTTGAGAGGTAGAGAATAGATGAGGATGGGACCAGTCAGGTGGTATTTGCCGGTTCTCCAAACTATTCAAAATTTACGCTACCGGTCAGAACCTGCTGAATACCACCTCTGCCATACGTCAGTGTAGGATTTTTGTACCAATGTACCTCTGGTTCACCTTGAGGAAGAAAGTACATTGGCTTTATGTTGTAGAGCAGTGTTTCTTAACCAGGGCCATTTTAACTTTCAACTCCCAGAATTCCCAACCAGCAGATGTTGAAGTCACACATCTTAAACTTGCCCAGACGGAAAACACAGTTCTACAATTATGAATTCCTAGGAAAGGAAGGAAACTCTTGATTTGATAGGTGAGTGGAGCCTCAATTAAAGTGGTGCT